TTTGAGGAGGGGGTTGGACTAGATGACCTCCTGCAGTCCCTTCCAACCCTGATATTCTATGATTCTATGGAGTCTCAGCACAATCACTCATACTGCCACTTATGGTAGAAATGAAAATTAGCGTAGACCTCTCCATAACAGCATCACTACCATCAAGAACCCAGACAAATTTGTAATACATAACAAGGACAAGGTTATTTTAATTTTATCTCAAAGCAGTATCTTGGAGAAACAAATCAATGCTTATCCTGAAACTATACTTTTCCCTTCTCCCAGTGTTTTCCCGTCCAGCTGTTTCTCCTGTAATCAGTTCTTCCACAGAGATACTCAAAGTGCCATACATACACATTTAGAGCTCCTTGTATAATATAATCATCATTACTGTGGAACATTGACTACCCTTTCCTAAACATCCACATTGGGCCAAAAGTGCACATCTATACTTGAAAAGTCAATAGTTATACCACCTTATGTTCTAAGCAAGATTAGACAAAATAGTGCCACAGGGTGGATTTGATTTAAATCAAATTGATTTAAATCACTACTCAGGAAGACTTGATTTAATAATTCTGATTTCTACATAAAAGTGCATTCTTGTTGGTTATTATAACCTTAATACATATTCTTCACAACTCAGAGACAGATGTAGGTTTCATTTTTAGAAAGGAACACTATACATTTTTAAAATGATTTATTTTGAAAACTTTTCAGATTAGTTTTACAGCTATATCAGAAAATGAATGATTGTTTGGTTATTTCATTTACCAAAGGTAATTGAAGCAGATATTTATGAAGTCATTGGGAGGTGAACTATCTCCAATTCAACAGGTTATTCATTAATATTTGGAGGATTTTCTTGCTATGCTGTATTAGGAGGAGAACATCACTAGACAGACATTTAAATTGTTTTATTTAACTAAAACAACAACAAAGTTATGTATTCTGTTTTTTTCTTCAATAGCAAACATAACATATTTTAACAAAACAAGCATATGAATTTTTGAATTTAGTTAAACATTCAAGTTTTTTAAAATCGGTTTTGTTTTTGTTAAAATTGTTTTTAACTAAAATAGTTAAATGAAATATTAAAAAAAATTAAATTGACTATGTCAGCCAGGTCAACATGAGAAACTTAAAATATTGGCTTCTGCAGATAACGGTCATCTTCACCTTCATTTTCCTGTTTGTTCATCATCTGGAAAAGAAAAACAAGCATTCCTGCTTTTTCAGGTCCCAAACAATTTCTCAATTTGGAATGAATTAGTCCATAGAAAGATAATATTCTTTCTACACCTTCAGAAGAAGCTACTGCCGTTAAAAGTGAGATTATTACTTTAACAGTCTCTGAATCTGAGTCTTTATGATTTTCTTAAAACATCATCAGCAAACATATATTTCTTTAATGGTTTATTATAGCTGGCATTATGGAAGGATGACTGCATGGATGTCCATGTCAGAGCCAACTCCTCTTCTTCAGCAGTTAAGGTTTGACCCTGGTACCGAGTATTGAGAATATTTGCAAGAAAATGAGCTGGAGATAGTGCTTGTCCCATTAGTTGGGTTTTTTTTGAATGCTTGTAATGTAACTCTGTCGTTACATATTTCTCTTTTAAGATCTCACTCAGTTCCTTCCAAATTTCAACAGCATCAGCAATAAAACAGCTATTTCCCTGCATTTTGTTCAAGGCTACAGAAATAGGCTTCAGGGTACTCAGCATGTGTTCAACATTTCTCTTAAGCCCAATGTTGAGAACTTTGGCTGTGACAGTGCCATCTATTTTTTTCACAATTTTGTTCACAAACTGTCATCAGATTAGGACAGTTCTTGATATAGTGCTCAAAACAGTCCACTACTGAATTCCATCGCACGTCTTCTAGGAGAGTTAGCTTGGTTCCTCCCACTTTTTTCAGAGTAGCTGCTACAAAGTGGTTGTTACAGAAGTATTTTGCAATTCAACAATGTTAGCCTTTATTTCTGGAACACTGAAGTCTTTGGCTAGGAGGTGCATCAAATGAGCACTGCAACCGTATGTTATTAGCTTGGGACTCTCCTCACTCTCTTCTAAATAATTTCTTCTCATCTTGGATACATTTGCAGCATTGTCTGTGACCAAGCTACATACTAAACATTTGAATTTTTTTTCTGTTATAGCTTTTACTGCTACTTCTTGTAAGTATTCTGCTGTGTGTGTGCATTTCCTGATGTATCAATTGTTTCTGTAAGGAAGACACTCCCTTCTTCTGTTGTCACACAAGCACATACAACAGGATCAGTGTGGACATTGCTCCACCCATCAAGACTCAGGTTAACAATTTTACCTTCTAGACCTATTGCACACTGCTCAATTTCTCTATCATACACTTTATCCAGCAATATGTCTGCGACATCTGGTCTGGGTTAACTGTATCCTGCTCTTAATGACTGAACCAAGTTAATTAAGTGTGGGTTCTCAATCATATGGAAAGGAGAGTTTGTTGCATAAACAAACCGGGCAATTTTTTCAACAATTACCTCTTTTTGTAATCTGCTGGTTCTTATTTAGTATTACTCATTGCATTCAATGACACTCAGTACTACTTTAAAGGTGAAATTGTAAAAGGAAGTTCTGCCTACTTCAGCTATTTATTTTTTATCACAACTGCATATAAAATGATAGTACCATAGAGTAAAAACTATATTTTTTGCTCAAACATGAGAATTCAAGAATAGTCCAGAAGGAAGACAGGCAGTCCTTAAGAAAGAAGTATGAAATAAAGTTTACCAACCTGAAGATCCTGCATGTTCAGACATGTTCCGTTCACCATCTTCAGTGCAGCTTCCTCCTGAGAAGGAACACTTCTCATGATGTTGTTTCATTTAGGCAATCAGGCCTTGCATTTTTTTGTTGCACTGTTTGCTTTTGCATGCATGCCTGTCTTACCCACAGGAAGAGGAACTTCATTAAAATATTCCCAAACTGGGTCTCTTTTACGGCCTGCTGCCATTATAGGTTTTCCCTTCTAGTGAGAGAATGGTATGGTAGATCTCAAATCAATGAAGGCTACATTCAGAAAGCCCTCAAGACTTCTGGAATATGCTACTCAAACAGTTTCACTTTTGTTTCTACTGCCTGTCACTCCCCTCTCACATTTATCTCCAGACTTCTTCTCCTTGTCCAGATCTATTCTCCCCCCCAAAATCTTCTATTCATTGAACTTTTTGAAACTTTGCACTTGTAGAGAGAGGTAAGGGATTGATTCCATGTACACAAATATGCAGAGGGACAATAGGGTTGAGGTCTGTTATTTCTCACCTCTATATATCATTTATTTATTTAAAAACATTTTTGCTGTTAACAAGCATGTTATCTCTGGAGACACAAATCCACAGTTTGAGAACTGCAAAACTAAGAGTCTCTGATGGTATCTTCTAGACCGAGCACTGAGTCCCATTGGGTAGATAGAAAGATTAACCTATAGAGAAGCCCCTGGAGCTCCATAAGATTGGGTCCCTAATCCGTGAACTATTGGAACTCATTTACAAAACTTTTCTTAAATATTACATGAATATATTGTCTCATACTACAGAATTAGAATTTATAATCCCTATTCCATGATCTTTGAGTTATAATGTACCTTCATTAAAACTATCTTTAGATAGGTTTTTGAGGAAAGAAACTATTTTATCACTCTATTCACTTTAGAATTTCACAGAAGGCAACATGCAAGAAAAACATTTTGATGAAGCCTGCCATTTCCATCTTTTTAATACTCTGTCTACATGTCAAATCACAGCCAGGGAACTGTCTCTGCAGTAGACATAGCACACTAAAATGTCCTAAAAAGCTCATGTACCTGCTGCTCTCTAGCTAACACCCAAAGAAGTGTTCCTCCAAACGAAGCACAAACCAGTAATTTCATAGCTTGAAATAATAATTTTCTAGCTTCTGCAAGACTGCCCTGAAAGAACCCAGAGGTTACGGAAACTGGTTCTTTTATTTCCCCTACCCCGATCCTGTTTCTTTGGAATTCTTTGCTATGCAGTTCCATGCAAAAGACAGTGCTACCATACAAGACAGACAATCATATTACAGTCCTTAGCATTATTAGACCATTCCTAATAGTACTATAGATAATGTACTATACGTGTAATATTACATCATCTTAGGCTGAAACAGTTCACTATGCAGTGTCTCACCTTATATAGACATACATTTATTTCAACTATATAAATATTACAAGGTCAGTTTTAGTCTAACTAAACTCCATCTTAACACATCTTTCATCTACAAACTATAAAACTCTAAAATTCTATTAAATGAAAACTAGGCATGACTATACCCTTTTGAGAATGTAAACGAGGAAATTTAAATAGTTTTAAATCAGGAAACAAAAATACAGCATCTCTACCATCTTTCAAAAAATATTCTTCTTTCAGAAACTTTAGTCTACTTTCTCTTTTTCAGTTACTCTTTCTACTAAACATCTGTTTAGAACTGAGTTACATTTGTGTGTGGTAGGAGTGGCATATTAGAAGCACTGCACAAAATTATTTTAGTGTGTTAACATTTAAGTTTTTTTTTTAAAATGTAACAATTATGCATTCTGTTCAGATTAATCGCTCGTTACATAAAACCACTGTCACCTAGTTAATTAGGATGTAACCAGCAGTTACAAAGCCCACCAGCTTTTCCAAAACAGAAATGGATTATTTTCAGCTGAGTTACAAGGACCATTTCTAACTTGCCTGGACTTGTCCATCAACTGCATGCTTTGCCATGTTAATGAGACATTTTGCAAGGCTTATTGCTGACATGCTGACAGTAGACAAAGCTTTCTTTCATTAACCACGTAACTACGATCTAGTACAGGGCTACTGAAAACATGAACACTGGCGGTATGCAGGCCTCAAAGGTTCTATTAAAATTCATATCTTATGACTACTAAAAAACAAACAACCCACAACGTCAAACAATTTCACTCTATCTTTTGGTGAAGCATTAATAACAAAATCTCCCATGTAGCAGACTATTTGGCAGGCTATTAGCCTACTTTTTATTAAAACCAGTGCTTCCATCAAACTCTCTGTAATTGATAAAGTACCATAGACCATATTTAACATGATTTTACCAAATTAAACTTTAAAAAATGACTAAAATGGCATAAAATGTAAAGTTTTAAAATTTATTAGGACTGTAAATTTTTAATTTCTTGTAAAATAGGATATAGGTGAGACATTACTACATTCAACTGTAAAATTTCCATCTGATTTAAGATGAATATACTATCTTACTCTGTACTAAAGATGTTTATGACTAACTGAAAACTCACTTTTCCAATTTAACAGCCAAACACCCAGGAGCATAAATAAGTCCTTTACTAAGTCAGATGTGTTCTACCTTCCTAACTGCTCAAAATTTGTATCTGAGCAGTTACTTAAAAAAAAAAAAAAAAAGTCTATAGATCAAAACAAGTCAAGGTGAACTGACATGAGGAAAGAACCACACACTTTTCTGAAAAATATCTTATGTTCATTAAAAGATTTTATATATTGTACTGAAAACTGGATGAACAGAATTGTCTGGGCATGTCTCTACTGTATTGTTTTTCTCCAAGATAGTCTTTAAGTTTATAGGGAAGCAATTCCTTCTTTGAAAGCTGCTTGGGCATGATAGGACTTCTTCGCTATGAAATATGTTAGTACGAAAGTTATATTTGTCATTTGTGCCTTCCAGCTGTATTTTTATCACCCTGAGAAAAGTTTGTACAGGCAAGTCACTGGAGAGATTTTTAATTACAGTTGGTTAGAGCTGTGTTTTTTTCCTAGAAGTTACTCAATAAGTACAGGAATCTTGTGGAAAGTTATTATAAACTAAAAGCCATTTTAAAGAGAGAATGAAGTTACTTTTCTTTTTATTACAAATAGCCAAGGATTCTGTCAAAATAGATATCTGTAGAACAATCAGCTGACTGTACATTTCATTTACAGTATACAATCCAGAAAATTACATGCAGTTTAAAGAACTGCTTATACATTAGCCCTTGGCCACAACAAAGAACTTGGCAGTATTACTACAACTTTAATGGCTATGGGGTGAAAATCAACATCTCAATTACATCATCTAACTTCATTATGAAACTGGGATACATACATACATCATTGTACAAGGAATGTTAATTTTTAACTAGAAACTGTCATCATGTTGTAATTCTTGGAAGGGCTTGATCTGCCAATTCTCCATTCCTCTTTACAGCTGTTTCTACTCTCCAGAGCTTTGGCAGTCTTCAGACCTGGTGGGGGGCTTTCATAAAGGACACAGATAGACCCATCTTCTCCTATTCTATAGGACACCTCAAAGGGATCAATCCAAAGAGTCAATTCGCTGGGTAAGAGCTGGAAGAGTCTCTGATGGCTCAGTCCAATCATGCCGGCTGCCTTCCCTATCAAAGGGTCCATCTTGTGGTTGATCCTAATGCATCGGTACCCTGAGCCCCTGGAGGGCATCAGGGGAAACCAGTGGTGTTTATAATGGTCTGTGCGAGGGAACAAAGAGAAAGACAGAAACGTTACTGCTGGCACAAGGGGGCCAGGCAACTCCAACACAATCACCTTCCCTCAATCCCTTTATGAAGGGCCCTCCAGCTGCACAGGGATTCACAGCACTAACCCTGGGAAGGGAGGATACTAATGAATGGCGGGTTATCTAGCCACAGCCGGGCGAGGGGGTGGGAGGTTTCCCTAGCGCCAACCATCCGTTGGCCCGAAGAAGGGAAGAGAGGTCGATAACGCCGTGGGATGGAGGGGCAGAGACAAGGGAGCAGAGGGCGAGGACTCCTCTGTGCGGGGTGCTGGACTGCCCGTCTGGGGCATCTCCGACACCCGGGGGGGGGGGGGAGGCAGGGCCAGTTCAAGGGCTCTGAACCTTGCTGCCCCTAGAGGGGCTCAGGGCGATCCCGGCACTCGGGGCTCCGCCCGCCCGCCCACACCTCGCAGCGCCTCCTGCAGTGACTCGCTGAAGCAGCGCAGCTGCTCGTCGCCGATGCCGCCGGGGGTGCGCAGCAGGCGGGTGATGAAGCCCGCGGCAGTGGAGATCTCCGTCTTCATGGCCCCCGACCCCGCTGTCCGCCTCCTCAGCGCCCCACACCAGTGACCAAGTGGTCCGGCGCCCGCCCCGCGCACGATCCGCGCCTGGCCCCCTGCCAGCGCAGGGCTCAGCCGCTGGGTGGTGCGGGACGCGCGGCCGGCCCCCGCCACCCACTCGACGCTACTACAGCGACCGCTGAGGAAGGAGCTCGAGTAAACAGTGAGGGACCCCCTCTCCGTGGGGCGGGGCCCATCAGGACCAATGGCACCGCCCCGCACCCATTGCGTCACAGAGAACGGCCTCCAAGCCCCAAGACACACCAACGGCCTCTGCACCCCGATTGGCTGGCAGTCGGGGAGGGGGAGGACCCGAGCGGACCCTCCCGTCCTGATTTGCCGTGAGCTGACGGAAATAGAAGCGCCGGTTGTGTATATCTGTGGGAGGAGGGGTTGGAGCCCGAGCAAAGGGCTGTTTGAAGAGGGCGGGGGCAACCTGAACTCCGGCAATAGGATTGGCTAGGAGGTAAACCCCACGAGCGAGAATGACAGCGAGGGGTGCCAACCCCCGAGGGACTGGCTGGGGCAGGGGGAGCCGTGCCAGCCGACTGAGTGAGAGGGGCGCATTCCCCCCCTCCCCGGAGCACTGTCGTGTCAGGCGGCGGGGCTGGAACGGGGTAACTGGAGTGAGCGGTTCCTCCTCTGCCCCGACCAGCGAGGCTGACGTGAAAACATGCATCTCTTGTGCAGGCCGCATGGAGGGGGAGAGGCTGTGACCCCAGCTGCCGGGTGCTGTGAGTGCGGCCTGCTGGTGAGAGGAGGAGGAGACTGGGGTTATCCATTACACACACAGTTAGGGACTGTACTGGGCTTTCCCTTTGTGTGTTAGCAGCGGGGAGATTTCAGAGTCCTTGGGAATGTTAATTTAAGAAGCCTGCTTTAATATACACCCCAAATGACCAAACATGAATTTTAGAGATTAAGTGTGATGGTGTCCGACTGTTTCTCCCCTTCTCCACATTTTTCATTCTTTTCAGCCTCAGACAAAAGCCAGTTTGAGAGAGCCTTAGGGAGTCATGGAGCTGGGTATTGATCAGAGTGAATCACATTTACAGTCATTCTTGAGTTTCCTAACTGCAAACACTGAAATCAGTATTACTGGGATTGATGTGATTTTTATCTAGGGGTGGGAAGAAAAATCGTGTTTTCAATTTAATAGGGAAACATCTTCCATCCAAGTATTAATCACACCCTACAGGCAGATTTTGGGGTCAGCTGCAGATGAACCTACAACAATGAGATTTAAGACTTATTCACCTCAAAGGTATCTGTTATTTGGTGTGCAAGTTAAAAATAAGTCCCTGCAATTTGGATTCAAATGTCAGTTAAGAGGTTTGCCCTAGCAGTGAAGGTTCAGAAGCATGAGCAATAATGTGTAAAACAAAAAACAGAAATCCTAGCAACATTTGGATAGACAAGCTTTCTTTAGTGTGATATAAACAGAAGTAAATTAAGAACATAAGAATAGCCATACTGGGTCAGACCAAAGGTCCATCTAACCTAGTATCCTGTCTTCTGACAGTGGCCAATGCCAGGTGCTTCGAGGGAATGAACAGAACAGATAATCATCACGTGATCCATCCCCTGTCTGCCAGAAGCTGGGAATGGCTAACAGAATTTATCAAATTCTTTTTTTTAACTGTTTTATAGTCTTGGCCTTCACAACATCCTCTGGAAAAGAGTTCCATAGGTTGAGAGTACACTGTGTGAAGAAATACTTCCTTTTGTTTGTTTTAAACCGTCTGCCTATTAATTTCATTTGGTGATTCCTAGTTCTTGTGTTATGAGAAGGAGTGAATAACACTTCCTTATTTACTTTCTCCACGCCAGTCATGATTTTATAGACCTCTATCATATCCCCTCTTAGTTGTCTCTTTTCCAAGCTGAAAAGTCCCAGTCTTATGAATCTCTCCTCATATGGCATCCGTTCCATACCCCTAATAATTTTTTTTGCCCTTTTCTGAACCTTTCCCAATTCCAATACATCTTTTTTGAGATGGGGCAACCACATCTGCACGCAGTATTCAAGGTATGGGCGTACCATGGATTTATATAGAGGCAATACACTGTCTTATTATCTCTCTCTTTCTTAGTGGTTCCCAACATTCTGTTTGTTTTTTTGACTGCCACTGCACAGTGAGTGGATGTTTACAGAAAACTATCCAAAATGTCTCCAAGATCTCTTTTTGAGTGGTAACAGCTAATTTAGACTCTATCATTTTATTTGTATAGTTGGGATTATGTTTTCCAATGTGCATTACTTTGTATTTATCAACATGGAATTTCATCATCCATTTTGTTGCCCAGTCACCCAGTTTTGTGAGATCCTTTTGTAGCTCTTCGCAGTCTGCCTGGGACTTAATTATCTTGAGTAGCTTTGTATCATCTGCAGATTTCCCCACCTCACTGTTTACCCCCTTTTCAAGATAATTTATGAATATGTTAAATAGGACTGGGCCCAGTACAGACCCCTGCGGGATACCACTATTTACCTCTCTCCATTCTGAAAACTGACCATTTATTCCTACCCTTTGTTTCCTATCTTTTAACCAGTTACTTATCCATGAGAGGACCTTCCCTCTTATCCCATGACAGCTTACTTTGCTTAAGAGCCTTTGGTGAGGGACCTTGTCAAAGACTTTCTGAAAATCTAAGTACACTATATTCACTGGATCCCCTTTGTCCACATGCTTGTTGACCCCCTCAAATAATTCTAGTAGATTGATGAGGCATGATTTCCCTTTACAAAATCCATGTGGACTCTTCCCCAACAAATTATGTTCACCTATGTGTCTGACACTTTTGTTCCTGACTATAGTTTCAATCAATTTGCCCAGTACTGAAGTCAGGCTTATGGGCCTGTAATTGCCAGGATCACCTCAAGAGCCCTTTTAAAAAATTGGCCTCACATTAGCTATCCTCCAGTCATTTGGTACAGAAGCGGATTTAAATGAGAGGTTACAGACTACAGTTAGTAGTTCTGAAATTTTGGTTTAGGTGGAGCCCATCCTTCCTGTATAAGCTCCCCTTTCCCCAAAAGTTTCCCTAGTTCCTAATAAATCAAAACCTCTCCTCCCCGCACCATTGTCTCATCTACACATTGAGAACCTGCAGTATTGCCTAACTGGCCCTGTGTGTGGAACTGAAAGCATTTCAGAGAATGCTACCATGGAGGTCCTGGACTTTATCCTCTCATCTAGCAGCATAACTTTGGTCTCCAGGATCTCTCTCCTATCCTTCCCTATGTCACTGGTACCTACATGTACCACGACCACCGGCTCCTCCCCTGCATTACACATAAATCTATCTAGATGTCTCAAGAGATCCGCAACCTTCACACTAGGCAGGCAAGTCACAATGCGGTTCTCCCGGTCATCTCAAACTCAGCTATCTACGTTTCTAATGATCGAATCGCCATCTCTTCCTAATAACTGGAGTTCCCTCCCTGGAGAGATATCCTCAGTGTGAGAGGATACCACAACATCATCTGGAAGGAGAGTCCCAACTATGGGATCATTTCCCTCTGCTCCAGTTGGATGTTCTCCTTCCCTGAGACTTATATCCTCCTCAACAGCACAGAGGCTGTCAGACTGGGGGTGGGACCGTTCTACTGTGTTCCAGAAAGTCTCATCTATGTATCTCTCTGTTTCTCTAGCTCCTCCAGTTCAGCCACTCTGATCTCCAAAGCCCATACATGGTCTCTGAGAGCTAGGAGCAACTTGCACCAAATGCACACATACTCCACCTGCCCAATGTTGCATTGGGATAGCCCCCACTCTGTTGCTAGACTTCTGCCTTCATTTTCTTTTTTCTCCTGCAGCTTATTCCTTTGTTGATGTTTTGTTTTTATCAAGGGGTGTTTTTGGTTGTAAATTTAAAGAATGTTAAGTGTGTCTAGCCCCCCCCCACACTCTTCCTCTAAACTCCCTCGCAAAACTCCCCAGTTAGCTGCTCCTGTTGGTTAACGCAAGGGTCTTCAAAGGCTCATAATTAAAGTTCTTTGCATGTAGAAATAATCCATCCAGTCACTTATTTCAAGGAAGTTAGGACCTTATATCTGGGATTACCAGAGTTCCTTGTGCTCATGGAAGTGGAAACTAAACAGGTCCTCTAAACCTTGTCCTTGGGGAAATGCAGTAGTTCTAGAAACAGTCTGTCTTCTTCCTAAATTCAGACAGCTACTGGCCTTTTTGTTCCCAGGGCCCAGCAAAAGCTACTGCTTCTAGACCATCTCTTCTTTCACAGGCTTCAGCCCTTAACAGAGCCTCATTTGGAGAGATATTTTGTTTCTCCTCACAGACTGTGTATGGCCTTGTGTTTCATGGGCTTCCTACCTTAAGTTCTCTCCTAGAGAGAATGGAAAGAGGGTATTATTTTTCCTCTCTGGAAGAAAGACTGCCTGCTACTGCTTTCTTTTATCATGTTGGCTAATGAGACCCAGCTGGAGAACCCTACCATAATAATGAAAATGGTAGCAATTTCTTCAGAGTACAGGAGGTTTTCTTTCCTTTCCTAATCTCTTCACCTCTTCTTTGCCTGTCCTAGTGGTGTATAGATCTTGCACATTACATCTAGCTACGCGTGTCATGGTACTTAAGTCTTGCAAGATTTGCATCTGTGGATTTTATAGAAGATTATTGCTACAAATCATAAAAGCCTAGAGGTACAGCTAAACATGGACATATAAAATTGCAAAACAGAAGTTATAGTATTCACTGAGAACTAAAAATAGTGACTCCAACAAAATTTCAGCCAAGTCACTACATTAATTTACTGGTCACTACTCTACAGGCAAAATGCTTCTGAAATAAATGTAGTCAAACTTTACTAATTCTGGGTCACTGAGAACGAAAATTATGTTTAAAATTGTTGATTGGCTCTAGTTTTCAAGATATGCTATTGGGTCAGTATATACGACCCTTGACTTGGGAATGGTGGAGGATAAGTGAGTTATAAAGAGAAGGGATCTCAATTTAAACCAGAAATGACTAAAATACATCTTTGACTGGATCGATGAATAAATCTATGACTGGGTTTGGACAGTACTTGCTTTTTAGGCAAAACAATGAATGATGCCATCTGAAGCTGGTATTGCGTCATACATGATATGAATTGCATCATGTTATTCCTAGAAGTCATGGATGATGCAATCATAACGAAGCTTACATCACTCTGCTGAACAAATTGCCCTATATCAGCCCTAGAAATCATACAGTGTCGTGCTCTCTTATTTGTCAATGTTTGATTTTGCAAAGGGACACATTTCTGTTTAGCCAAAGTGAGCAGAGATGCCTTGTACTTGTGTGAACAGTGCAGATAACTTCTGCTATGTTTGTGGTGA